GTGTTGTCAAACATGGCACCTGTGGACGTGCATTGTCGTGGAGAAGAAGAACACCTTTCCTATTGATGAATGAAAGGCTTGACTTAAACGTTCCAGTTGCTGACTATAGATCTCCGCATTGACAGTTCACTGTGGGTTGAGAAGTTTGCAATGAATTACTCCTTTAATGTCCCACCAAATGCAAAGCATCACTTTCTGCAGATGGAGTCGGAAATGGTTTTTATCTAGGACTGAGCCATTGTTTTTGCCGTTTAATATTTGCATAGCAAATCCATTATTAATCATCAGTGACAATTCTGTCCAAAAAATGGTTCACGTGCATTACGTGCCAAAAGAGACGAAGCAATATTCACACATTGGAAATAATGATCATTGAAGAGTTCATGAGGCACCCAAGCACCTTATGTCAGGGCCATTTCACTAGTGTGTTGCCTTGGGTTAAACTCAACAAGCATCTTCAAAGCATCAATGTCAATTCTAACATGTCGGCCCCTGCCATCACAGTTTTTAAGGCTAAAGTCCCCTGAACAAAATTTGCTGAACCATCATTGACACATACGAACATTCAAAACATTTCCATAAACTTCTTTGATATTCTTTGTGGCTTCTTGTATTCAAACGGCATTACATGCTGAATGTTTGTCTTGTCGTGTGCCATCACTATAAGGGATTAGAGTATACTAAACTTTACACATTATCTAGGCTACACTAATGGGACATTTAGGTGGTTCGTTTAACTATTATACGTGATGTACGTTTTTTGGGGAGTGGTTAATGAAAATGTTCCAAAACATGACATTAATTTCTTGACAGCCTAATACATCCTTATGTTAGTTCAGTAGGGATTTTCATACATATTATGTATGAAGATTTATTTATTGCTTACATAACTTTGTTATAATGAACTCTTATTTAGTAAAATGTTAGTATGCATTACCATTTCTTGTTGTTTTTTTTAATTATGGTTAATAATTTAGGTAGTAGATGAGATTGTTTTCCCTAGTTTTGTTTCAATAATCTACAGTGTATGGCAGATGGAGGAATTTATCCAGTTTGTAATGGTCTACTGCATAATTGAGGCTGTTAAGAAGTATTGAGGAACATTATGCTATGTAAACAAGCTTGTAAGGGTTCAGTTAAGAAAATCGTAGCTTAGAAAAAGAGAAAATTCAGCTGAGTATAGACAAGAAGTTATTGGCTTGGAGAATTTATAGTCAGTTATAGGTCATGGCTTTTGTTGTAAAGTTTGCTAAAGAGCTTATCATTTGTTGCTTTAAACTGTCAAGGAGTTAAGTGAGATAGGCTTAGCACCATATTTAAAACTCAATACATAGCAATATATTTTAAAATATTCAGCTGTGTGATTTTACTGATATTCTTCTCTTTAAACTACACTTTGCACAATAGTCATTTCTAGTTATGTTTATATAAAAATTGTGACACCTTTTTTTTCAGACTTGTGAAAATATATTAAACAGTTGATTAAATACACCTATCAATCTATTTATAATGTCTAAATGAAATGTGGGTATTATTTTATTCACAATGTGACAAGATCTACAGAGGGTTGAGTATGTTATATGAAAATTATTTTTAAGTGCTTGTAACAACTCATTCATACATAAAGTATTCATACACTCAGATCATAAAGATGTATTTTGATGGGGATCTAGAATATCCTAGATATGAATATCCCTTGTACTTAATGGCATTGGAAAACAAAAGAATATGGATCGACTTGGGGCACCAGGACCATCCAGAAGAATACTTGCAAGAATTCATATCCTAGCTGTAGTTAGCAAATTGCAGGATCTTGTAACAAATGAGAATACAGGCACAAAATTAAATCAATGGCAAAGCAAAAGCTGTACACAAGTCCAAAGCAACAGCATGCAATATAATCAAGAAAGTCGTGTGTTTCTTCCATGAAATGTTCATTCAACTGTTCCATACTCAAGCAAATGGAGAATGAAACAGGTATTCATGCTATTTCATACAGACAACTACTAGGGTTTAGTCACTAAATGCAGTATCTATGGATTTCTTTGCAGTCAGATTTGTGAAATGGGCACTGGGAAACTGTCATTTTTATACACTAGATGGCTTATAGAAAGCACTCGTGGAACAATGGTATGTTTTTGACATTTAACATTTTTGATGGAGACTTTTTCATTGTAAATTATACTGCAGACTATTGTCAAGATGTACAGCCATGAGATTGAGTATGACCAGACATGGTGGCATGGACTGTAACAATATGGTGAGGTTCCAAAATGTAATATACTCAACTTCTGTAGCTGTTATTAGCTTCAGATTTTAATTACATGCTCTATAATAAGTAAGCCTAATATTTTTACTTTTTTTTTTCTGTCACAGTTGGTTGTCGTACTGATGCAGAATGTACATCAAAAGAGTCTTGTATGCAAAATAAATGCAGAGGTAAGTCTTTGATTTTTGTCATACTGTTAAAGATAAACGTATTAATATGTATGTACAATTTTTAAATTGAAGAAACCTTCTGTAGGAAAATGTTTCTGAAAATTATAATAAAAATGCTTTTTTTTAATGAGTAAAATATTTCATTTAATTAGTTAAATAAATAATTTAATGTAAGAAAAAATACTGTTTGATATAACTATCTCAATTGCAAATGCTATTTCATTAGACTCTTGTGAAAGCCCCACTGTCTGTGGTACAAATGCCATTTGCAGTGTTGAAAACCACAACCCTCATTGCAAGTGCCCACCAGGATTTATTGGTGACCCTGAAGTAGAATGTCATAGAGGTCAGTTTAAATATTAGAGAGGTTATATTGCTTTTTTGTTGACAGTGTTGAATTGACTTTTCTTTCTTTCTCTAAATATATCCAACTTGTTAGTAATAATTTTATCATCCACAGTGAACTACTTTGAAATGTAAGTAGTATTGCTCTATAAATTTTCTTTAGAATGCTTCCTACAATTATATATTTTTGGATTAATACCTTTAACCATGATTAGCAAGATTTATACTTGTTAATAAGTTAACAGTAAAAGAGTGTACAACTATCCTTACTATTAAAATATACCAGGTATTAACCTTTTTATGTTTGGGTACTTACACATTTTATGATGACTTGTCACTGTCTGTTTACAAATCGTTATTGTTTATTAAAATGTTGTTATAATTTGTTCACATGTTTCCTTACCTACGAAGCATGTTCTTCTAAAAAAATATTGAATTACCATAAGTAAAAATATTTCTGTGTGAGTGTATTTATGGCAAATATTTCAAAAGTTGTATCAATTGGAGCTTATTCAGTATATATAAAATTTTTCTCTAAAAGATGTAAATAAGAATATTAATGTATTTATTTTGCTTACCATATACATTTTTTTAGTCTATTACCATTTAAGTTATAAAATTGAATAAGAGAAAATGTTAAATTTTTCTGTTTTGTCACAACTACATGTACAAATATTATTATAAGCTGAAATACTTCCAAAATCTGTATTCAAACTACAGCAGAAATGTTGTAGTATATATTCACAATATGTTTAGATTGATGTAAAGACAATAGGTTTTTGATGAATTTTGGTCTTTGATATGTTATGTGATAAAATCTTTATGAAAAATATTTGGGAAACATTTTATAATTTCTATCATAAATGATCATGTAAATAATGCCTTGAAAATCATGTACTCCTACAAATAATTATCAAGACAAACAGCATTGACTACTTAAGTTTATTTTGTTTTGTTTTTGCATTAATAAAATACTGCTTTCTCTGTCCATTATTCAGTTTTACCAAACTGTACAACTGGTGCTGATTGTCCTCTGAATCATTTCTGCATTAGAGGACAGTGTCTTGGTGAGTTTTTTAACAGCTTGATTAATGTTTGAAATTGTGTTTCATCTGTTGCATAAATTCTTTATTCGAAATGCTGATAATTTATTTGAAGAAGTCCTATTTAAGTGAAAGCTTAGTGAGGTGTAAATCAAATCAAGTGGCAGACACATTAGACCATAAAAGCTCCATTCTTTATGATCCTAGAGCAATATATTAGATTCGTAATTTATACTTTGACAAATATAGGGTGCTTGAGAATAGAAAAATGATTTAAAGATGATTATGCCTGTTTTTCTTATTAAGTTTTTCAAGTGCATGCTTCAACTTTCTTCAGATTTAACTAGATAGAGTTTTTAAAAACTTAGTGATAAGTGTGACACAAAATTAAATGAAATATGCACATTTTACAATGGTAAGGATGAAAAGCTGTGTACTTGTGCTTTGAGCCCTGGTTGATCAATTGGTAAAGTATTGGATTTAGAACACTAGTGTGAATCAAGAATCTTGCAAAGATGAAAATTGACTGCCATTTCTAATGTCAAATTGGCAATCCACCCAGTTTGTTCAATTCTGATGAGAAAAAGATAGGAGTGGTGGGGGTGCTGGAGCCAAACACAAAATACTAGTATTGTAGGTTTGATCCAAGATTGCCTTTTCTACTTTGATGGCTATGTTAAACCAACATCTGTAAGTGAGATTCCTGTTAACTGGCTGATTGATGAACAATCAATTAATCCCAAAACTTCTTTTGAAACCAAAGGTATCTAAAACCTCAGAAATACACAAACAAACCCTTCAAGTGCAAGGTAAACCATCAGAATAGACCAAACATTAAATCTCTAGCCTTTCACCTTAATGGTATGCATTTTTCTCCAATTTGTTAATAATTAAATCAATTAAACAATTGTCTTTCGTAAAATATTATTTTATTTGTGAAATCGTTTTAAATGGAGTCTAAATTGGACAGAGATAGATATCTGATAAAAGTTAGGGGGAGCAGGTATACAATAACATTCCTTAAATTGTTTTCAATAATAAAGGATACAAGTGCTTTACATGTCACAAATTATGTTATTATTTTCAGTGACATAAGTTATGTTGTACCTGGGAAGGCAAATATTGTGAGATTGAGGGATTTCAGACACAAGAAAGTAGTCAACACTTGTATAATTTTGACTATTTAGGAAAATGAACAAAGTATTAAAATGTCAGGCTTTTGATTTGTAAAAGAAGAAAAACAGAATGTAACTCATCAAAAGGACAAGAATTCAAAAATACAGTTTAGTAGAATAGTCAGAGGTTCATGCATGAAAATATATATTATTCCTTATCTGCATTTAAAAAGATTCAGTTTGTAAAGCATTTTTCAGTAATTTGTGCTAGAGGAAACTGATTTGTTCAAGTATTACCTCAAGGTTTCATGAAATGACCTATTTGTACTTAAATAATTTAATCATTCCAGTTATAAACACTTGTATGTACCATCTATGTAAATATTTGATAAAATGATCAGTCTGTATATTAACATGTCTGAATAAAAGTGGTGAAAGCTGATATAAACTCAATGTTTACTGTTCATTTTACAGTAAATAATGTGAATGTTTAGTGTCCCAGATGGTGCATAATGTGCCAGAGGGCGTGAAGAGTCCTTTGGCTCTAGGAAGTACAGGCAGCTCCAAATCCTGGCTTTTATGGACTGAGACCAAGGACCAGTCTGAAGTTTCATTTTTTGTTTTGGGTTGAACAACTTTCATAACATCCTGACACATTATAAATTTTCTCTTATAATTATTGAACAATAATGCATCAAACAACAGTTTGAAATAAAACTACAACAGGATCTCTTTGATACAAATTAATAATCTCTCAGATTGATAAAAAACGTATGTGATGCATAATTTGTTTTTTTTTACAAAAATTAAAAGTATTTCTAACTTACATGTGTCATCTATTTTAGTGGAATGTAATACAGATGGTGATTGTGCTGTGGGAGAAAAATGCTTTAATAACCACTGTGTGGGTAAGTATAGTTTACAGTTTCTTGAATTGTTAATCAACTTTTATCTAAGTGTTAAAATAAGCATGTGAAAAATTCAGTTAGTGGCAGTGTTTTTAGTTTAAAATATTTTTTAAATTCAAAATATTGTTATATAAAAAACTCAATGTCAATTTTCTTAGGTTAAATGTTTTTAAACTCAGAATATTGATTGGTTTTCTTCTATGATCTAGTTTGTATATGCTCATATACTAGTTACCTCTAGCTTTGGCTGACAGAAGTAGTTCTCTGTCTATGGATAGTTTCTTGGCTTAACAGCTCCTCTCTCCTCTTCATCTCACCATATAATTACCCTTATTTCAGATTTTTCAACAGTGCTTTTATTTTCCTACTTGTAAGTCATTTCCTTTGAATCCTTCCTATTAGAACCTTCTTCATCAAATTATTTCCTCAAACAATGTGTCCAACTCATATCTTTTGACTTTTCTAGATTTTTCCCATCAAGGTTCTATTTTCATTCATCATCTCAAACACCTTTTCATTTTTTATCATATTCATTCCAGCTGAGTTTTTTTTCCATTTGTCATCAAACCCAAAAACTCAAAGGTCAAATAATATGATCTCTTTTTTTAGAGTATATATATATATATATATATATATATCTGCTCTGTCCATCACTACTCTCCAAACCAGTCTTGACACATCTTTTTTTCATCTCTCATTCATCCAACTGTTAAGCAGTTCCTTACTTTTTTGTGAATGCCATATTCACCATTTTGGTCCTGGAATTTATTTATTTTCGAAATGTCCCATTCTCTGTAAGGATACTTTCTAATTATCTAAACTGACTAACTTGCTCTTGTTGTTATCCATTCTATGTAATTTTCCACTTATCATCACTCCTTTGTGGTATTACCTTCATATTCAGAACATTAGTTTGCATTCCAAAATTTTTTGCCACCACATTCAAACTCTTCACTAATTTCTGCAAACCTTCTTTAGGACTGACCACTGGTATTTTGTCATTGACAAACCTAACTAATTTCACCCTCAACTTTCTCTCCTTCTTCCAGTTCTGGTTGGTGAAGAAAGAATCTCTTAACACTTTTATAGTTGAACGTACAGGGGTACTGAAATATTTTTATGTTACTACATTCATTTTGTGTGCATAACAATGGTCATTATAAACCAGAAATTTATCTGCTAAGCCTTAAACTTAGACTCCTAATTACCAGCTTCACTATCCAGTCACTCTCCCCTTTCTACTTATGTCATTAATTTCATATGATTGTTGTTTTTTTTGCCTCCTTAGACTGAAAGTAGACAGTAAAATAATATATGAAATTTTTATTATTACTCCTTTGATATATACACGAACTACATATTTGATGGAACTTTCTCTTCCCTCAGGACTCTGTCACAATGACAGCGAGTGTCAACAGAATGAAATATGTGTGAGCAATCGCTGTGAAGGTAAATGTTAATTAATCCTTATAATTATTGCACATAATGTGACTATCTAAATTCCAAGCTCGAATTTTTATTTTTTTCTGGTAACATTCTATTAATAAAATGTTATCTCAGTTGTGCCTTTATCTTCACAGTTGAGTAACAAAATTAATCTACTTTCCTTCTAAAACCATATATGTGGTGTTTTTACAAATATTAGAACTCTGAGTGTCTTGCTTAATGGAATAGTTGAACTAAAAATGTATACGCAATAACTGTTTGTTGTCACTAGTAATCACTTAATCTTGTGTAGTTGACATCATTGAACTATAATGCCATATGTCTCACTTGATGTTCCAGTTATGGCCTTACATGTCTTGTGTTGTGTCATGTATTGTCTTTGCTCATGAATAATTAGTTTCTGAAAGTTGTTGATGTATTCTTTAAAAATGTCTTAAAGAAAATCTAAAGTGTAATTAATGTTATTAGAGATTCTAGAAACATTTTCATGATAAATGTTTTTTATGCATAGTTGGCTGTCGAGCTGGTAACCAGTGTCCTGATCATATGGCTTGTGTTAGCAACCAGTGTAGAGGTAACTAGGTTATCTATCTTTTTCCTTTGGTGTTACATTACAACAAGAAAGGGTCATTTATTGCCATTAAATAATAGTTTTGTGTCATTAATAATTAAAACTACTTTCTATATGCTTAAGTAAAATTTGCAAAATGCAAAAAAATTAAATTTGCTGTAAAGTTTGAGAGATTCAACATGAATTTTTTACATGCAAATAGAAAGTGTATGATTAAATTGCTTTATTAATTCTACCAAGGCCAGTGAGGATAAGAAGGACTTCTCATTTTTAAGACAACATATTTTGAAAGCTATTAAAGCTACATTTAGAGTATATAAAATTAATGCACATAGTATGTTAAGCACATATTTCTAAAGATTTGAGTTTGCTTGATAAATACCCAATGGCTGTTTGATAATAATAATAACAATCTTGTAACTTTGGCATAACAACCTTGATAGAAACTAAAGCTTGACAGTAAAAATACTGAAAGCCAAAGAAGACATAGTTTATGAACTCGTTTCAGAAATGGAAGTGGGACTTCTGTACTGTATTTGGGATTGTCAATTTACCACTAAAGAAATAAAAAGAGCTGGACTATGAATAGGCTACTGTTTCTATCAAATGCCAGCTTTGTAATTGCAAAGATTTAACAACTTATTCACTGGTAGCAATTTATAAATACTTTCTTTATTATACAGTTGGATCTTAAAATTCAAGTTTTACTGACGAAACTGATGGTGGACATAACAAACACTTCCTAAATATTCCTATAAAAATTTAGTACAGGAAATGTATAGTTAAATTCTATTGTAAAAATGGATATCCTATGACTGTTTTAGATCCCTGTGAAGGAAGTGCTACATGTGGACCTAATGCAGTATGTAAAGTTGTAAATCATCGATCTGTGTGTAGTTGTCCTACCTCCTTTGTCGGACGACCTAATGCTAATGTTGGTTGTATCAGAGTGTCTACCACCTGCAGTGATAACTCTGAATGCCCATTTGGATATTATTGTTTCAATGAATTTTGTAGAGGTAAGTTAATTTTGTGTAAACATATAATTCAAAGAAGCTTGACTTAAAATCTTTACATCAACAGTTAATTTGAGTTTCATTTATTTTCTAATAAATCAGACGTTTGCCTATTATTTGTTGAATAAAAGCATTAACAAGTTATTTAATATAAAAATATTATTTTGGCAAATATTCTCAATAGTCTCACAGTATTGTACAACGTATTTTGTAATGTTTTTAACTAACGTCATATTGTGTTTTTATTACCAGTGTTAACCAATCCTTGAACCCCACACAAGAGATAGTAAAGAAACTAAGTTTTAAATCTACTTTTTACAATTTAAGAAATAACTGATTCTATACTCACTAGACAAAATATTACTTGTGCTCAGCATAAATACATTCAATTAAAATATAGGACATTGCATATTACATTGTTATATTTACTTCAACAAGATTAAAACTGTAAAAAATGCAAACAAAACTGAACTACCCACTAAGACTTTGAAGGTAATCAAATAAAATACAAAACAACATTCCAACTAAGGAAATGGATACACAATAGATTAAACACTGAAAAACAAAAAGGAAAACTTCATAATAGAGGAAGAATAGAAGTATTCTGCATAAATATTTACTGGTAAATCAATATGCATACAGGATATATGATAAGAATGATAGAGTTTCCTTCAGGAATGTCCTGATATCAGAGTTTGTGTGTGATTATCCTTTATTATATGACTTAGTATCAATTCACCTGTCTATTGACTGGTATATGCACATTAAATTACACATAATGAGATCAGTTATAAACTGGTAATGCTGTAATGGATGTAATTGTAAGTAATATAAATATTAATTTAAGGTGTTATTTCCTGAAATTAACCATTCACGAGAAAATACTTCCTTTTTTTAAAAATAAACAAAATAATTATAGGAGAAACTTTGACTTTTAAATTTGATATTTCTAGGGTTAATTACTTATTTATACTGCCCCAAGTTTCACACTAAAGCACAGGACATCTAATGTTTCCAAATCCTTCTACTTGAGAGTAGTCTTGCAGAATTCTTTAAATAACCAAGGATAGAAGAGCTCATTCATTACTCAACTTTTATCAAAATGTGTTTTTATTTTCAGTTAAAAACCTCAAACTCATGAAATTGTCCTAATTGTCATCAATACAATTTGAAATATTTCCTGATAAAAAAAGTTTTCAACTTTGGTTGTCCTTGTGAAACATTGAGAAAAAGTTTATTTGCATACACATAGATTCTTGGATACTCCAGAGCATTTTAGTAATGTTTTCAGTGAAATTTAACAACCTGATGAAGAGTTAAGATTTCTGAGCATAAAGTGAAAGGAATGAATTGATTGTTTCACAAAAAATATTAATGTTGTGATATAAAGGTGATGCGTTAAATTATATATACTTGTATTTATGTTGTATAGTTTCTATTAATAAAAACCTTTCCTTAGTATTTAGGAAAATTTTCTTTCTATTTAGTCTACTTGCATATGTTGAACAAATAAATAGGAATTTTATAAAATTTCAATGGAATCCAATTGATTTTGATGTAGATTTTAGCTTCCCAAAAGTGCTTGAAAAACATTTTGAGAGTGCTCAGAAAGTGCTTGAAATTGATCTGAGGAATTCAGTGTGAATCATGACCTCAGAATTTGAATAGTTTAAGCTATAAACCTTTACTTCTTGCAGTATTCTTACTACAGTATTTTTTATAACCCCTTGGTTTTACACTTAAAATCATATCATCCATATGGTAGGTTTTTGTTGAACAGGTTTTAAAAAAACAAGTGGCCTTTTTTCCCTAGTGGCTTGTAGTTCAGACAAAGATTGTGTAGTTAATGAGAAGTGTTCCAATGGTCGATGTTTCATCCAGTGCTTACAAGATCGAGACTGTCCATCAGTGGAGATTTGTAAACAGAACTTATGCCAAGGTAAGTGATATGGCCTATTTGAACTACTTTTGAATTAGATGAGAATTTTTGCTGAAGTGGGTAATAGATTATTGTACTAAATTCCTCATCAAAGAAAAAGTTATGTTTTTAGATTAAAAGTAAAATAATTTAATCTATAAGCTTACAACATATTTTATTACTAGCATTGTTATTATTATTATTACACATAACCTACAATTAAATGTTCAAGTATCCCATATAAAGTGATGTTATGGAAGAAAAACATATGTAGGAATACTTTTGAAGATATTGTAAAAATGTAGCAAGATACAGAACTGAGTTGGTGATAAAACAAACATTGATCAAAAATCTTTTATGAATGGGTTTATTTGTTACATGAGTAACTGTTCATATTTCTGTTTTAAATCAGATGCATATTGTTAAAATGAAATGTAGAAATGCTTCTGAGAAAATCATATAATACCATCATAATTTGAAATTTTTCAGCTTTTGTCTTTTCCATTTTGAACAAAATATAACAAAGCATGCTGTAACAATTTACCTTTATTTAATGATGCTTTTCATTGTATTATATGTCAGCAAAGAGTTCATACCAAACATATGTAATAAAATACACCAAAATTTGTTTCCATTCAAGAAAAATGACACTAATGGATTTTGAAAGTATGCATAAATGCAAGAAAATACATACATATTCCTAGACTTATAAATCTTTCTCATTTCTTTATTTCATAGTTGGTTGTAGAAGTGACAATGACTGTCTGTTTAATGAGGCCTGTATCAACAGTCAGTGTCTTGGTAAGATTTTTTCTACTGATTATCATCTAGCTATTTTCTACACAAACAGATGCAGAAGTAGAATAATTTAAAGCATTTAAAAATATAATCTATCTTTGAGAGTGTAATTAATTCTGACACAAAACTGAACTTAACATTGTGTTATACGTTTAACTGATAAGATGGTTTTATCATCTAAGCCAAAAATGATGTATATTAAGGATTTAGAAATGTTACCTTCTAACTCTCATCTATATTTCTTACATATGCCCATATTTATACAACTTCAAAAAAAATTCAGTTTTTGTTTTGTTCCATTCTACAAGAACAAAAGACTAAAATACATTTTTGCTAGCAAAAAGCAGTATTGAAAAGTAAATGACAGTACAGTTTACACTACCAACTTGTATGCTAAGAAAAGGTAATACATTAATACAGTAGTATTGCTATTTTTAGGTATTGTTGGATAGCTTGTCTTAAAAAAAATTGTTTGAGAATATGACACTTTAATTTTTTAATTTGTTTGAGATTTTTTGTCAATTGTTAAAAGTACTTTACAGCATTTTTGTTTTTATTACAAAAGTATAAATTACAAACTTGGCTGTTTCTAATGCTTTCCACCAGACCCCTGTGGTAGTCCTACTGTATGTGGAACCAATGCTCTCTGTCAAGTTACCAATCATCTGACTGAATGTTTCTGTCCTCCTGAGCTTACAGGAGATGCTAAGATAGAATGTAACAGAGGTAAGTTATGCTGCTCTTGAAGATTCTGTCTTCTTTGAGTTGAAAATAGATCAACATTTAATAATCACTTATGGTTTCAAATTGTTCATCTCACAATTAATTCTTTCTCTTTACATTGAAACATCATTATCATACATCTGTTTATTTCCTGTTGTCTGTAATTAAACTCTGCAGTAGTTTTGTAATGGTAAAGAGTTTGTTTGTAGTTATTTTACTGCTGTAAATGTTTTTTCTATTAGAAATTGCAAAATTCCTAAATAATCTCCCATTCAGTTTTTCATGGTGTTTAATATTATATTAAGTAGAGTTAATTGTCATCATGATACTTTTTTTCAGTGCCTACAAAATGTACCAATGATAATGAATGTGGCCCCGAGAAATATTGCGATGCATCTATGTGTGCAGGTGAGGATGAAGTAATTGTTGTTGTTTTTTGTAATTTATGTAATTTTTTGTTTCTTTTAATTCTTCAGATCCTATTTTTGAACTATCAGTTGTTCCCCAGTTTTAGTGAAATAAGGTTAATTATTTTTTTGTGATTTCAGTTGCTTGCAGTATTGATACTGAATGTTTAGACAATGAAAAATGTATAGACCGTCGCTGCAGTGGTAAGTGTAAACATTCTGTGAAATGTAAATCTATAAGTAAATGTTAAATAATCTGTAAATGCTTCTTTGATACATTAAACATTTGTAGAAAATATAGATATGGATGATTAAGTTACATTTTAGATGAGAACATTCAAATGCTAACTTTGAGGTGTTTGTAAATGGGTTTAAACCTACTGACTATGTAGGTAACAAATTATTGATGCTATAGTTTCTTTTTATTATAATAAATTTAGAATTTCAGATTAAACATAATTCTACATTATGTGCCTGACTAATATAGTGTAATGTTTTCTAGCATATCTACTTAAAATGGTAAGCTTTCATTTGCAACAATTATTTTTAATTTTATAACATTTAATTCAAACTCCCACGCTATTAGTGTTAATTTTGAAGAATATCAGCATTTGATATTGTATCATTGATTGAAGTTAATGTATATTTGTGCTTTACTCTGTGAAAGCTGCTTTTCTTTTTAAGGTTCATTGTTGGCAACTTAAGGATAGTATTTTTTTTGCAATAATGAGTTGCAAAATGTATACCAATTTTCTTCCATCAGCAAATTTATATGCCCATTTCTTTGAGAAAAGATATACTTTATAATCGTATTAAACTTGAAAGTAACCCTTCCTTACATGTGTTGACATCATGCTATTTGTTATTATATCATTTTCATATCCAAGGCCCGGCATGGCCAGGTGGTTAGGGCACTTGACTTGCAATCTGAGGGTCGCGAGTTTGAATCCCCGTCCCACCAAACATGCTTACCCGGCATGACCAGGTGGTTAGGGCACTTGACTTGTAATCTGAGGTTGTGGGTTTGAATCACCATCCCACCAAACATGCTCACCCTTTCAGCTGTGGGAGTGTTATAGTGTGATGGTAAATCCTACTATTTATCAATAAAAGAGTAGGCCAAGAGCAGCGTGAGGTTGTGATGACTAGCAGCCTTCCCTCTAGTCTTACACCGCTAAGTTAGAGATGGCTAGCCACACATAGCCCTCGTGTAGCTTTGCGCGTAAA